TTCTGTGGTCCACGGGGCGCTCAGGCACCAGGAAGACAGCCCAAGAGGTCGCTGGAACGCAGATTACGAACATGACGAAGGCAATAACCAAGTTGACCATGGGAGAAACCTTGACGGCGCCAATTCCAAACGCCAAGCACGAACCAATGGACTCGAATGATCTGACAAGACCAACGCCCAGAGTCAACGTCTCAATGTCATCGAAGAAGGTGCCCATGATCCAGTAGACAAACATGTAGTGAGACTCGTTCATGAAACTAGTATCTTGGTTAGCGTGTATTTCCCCAAGCGTCCAGAGAACAATCGAGACTTACCGGAAGAGAACGTTGACAGCAAAACCCCGTCCGAAGCCAGGCGAAGCCCAGTCCAGAGTCACCTTTGGCACGGTATCCTCGTACAACTTCTCATTGGCTGTCTGCCAGGCAAAGAGCGCCAGCATGATGACAGAGAAAATTGCCCAAGTGATTTTGGCAAGCTGAGGACGGCTGAAGCACTTGAGGTCGTAAAACCACCCCCAGAACATGTTTGCAGCCGATGCAGCGATGCCAGAAGTCAGAGCACCGAGGGTTCTGGCGCGAACGGAGAAGTACTTCGTGAGGTAGATGCCCTGATAGGTGCTGTTCCAGTTGAAACCAATGAGAATAGGGATGAGGAGGAAGAATTCCTTCCTCTTCATCAGACCCCACCACTTGCGGAACTCTCCCATGACTGCCTTCTTTTCGGCAGGGTCGGCCACCCTCCTTCCATCACGGTGGATGACCTTTTCAGGAGGTGATACGAGCAAGGCGAGGGGAAGCCCAAGACACTGGAGCGCAATCAGGACAAGGTAGGTTGAGTATCCGACCTTTCCCCGCTGGCCGTTCTTGGAGTTCAGTGAGAGTTGGATCGACGCGCCGATGAGCTGTCCAAGCTCACGGAGACCAAGCCAGATGCCGGCTGCGCGAAAGTCAGCAGTTATATCACGTCTCAGAGCCAATAAAGACTTACTGAATTTTCCTCGATCCTTGATATCGGCGTATCCAAGCGCAATCGCTCCTTCAGCACTCCATAACGCGCTAGCTCCGATTCCGCAAGTTGCACCTCCAAACAAGACAAACCACTCAACACCGTAACGGTTGTTGACGTACATCGATGCTGAGTAGGGAGCATAGCCAAGAGTACCGATGATCAGGACGTTCTTCAGCCCAATCTTGTTGGCCAAGATGGCGAAGATGGAGCAGCCAAACACCATGATACCGAACGTGAGCGCATTGGCGCCGTTGACCAGGTATGGCTCTTGTTGACCTCCAGCGCCAGTGCCTAAGTTGTTTAGTCAAGGGGTGATCATATCCACATTCGAGGCGTCCACCTACTATTCAGGGCGTTCCAGATACCGGGCTGAGTGAATGAGATCAGCCCGACAAGAATGACGTTGAACAGCGGGCTGCGGTACCAGCGGGTGAACCGAGACACAGGTTTGGTAGATTGCACATCCTGAACCTCGTGCTCGCCCTCCTCAGGCTGCTTCGCAAGATCGGTCGACATGGCGATTCAGCTCCTTCGTCCCGACGCAACGGATGAGTTCATGCAGGTGCGGGAAACGGGGACATATGGAGGTGGCCCGGACAGCTCTTATTTATTCCACCCTACAACACCCAAATGATCTTCCGGCATGCACTCAATTTTCACTCATCAGTTTCCGAAACCAAGGGTCTGGACGGCCAACGTCCGCGCTGTAGCATCCCATCTAATTTTTTTCTCCGCATCGGGCTCAGGTCCCCATTAGACACCGTCTCGGTGCGGGTCTGGTCGCCAGCGCTTCGGGATGCCTGTGAAAGGTTTGGTTTGCGTGACGTTATTGGAAATCGCTATGAGACAATCCTGGGCGGCGCGCCTGGCCAATGTCTCCCATCCCTGAAGGAGACCGCGGTGTTGGGCCGGCGGCGTGGACGACCGGCGGGCTTTGGCTGGAAAACGCTTAAAAAAACGTGGAATTGATGGGGTCGGCTTGGGGCCGACATCGCGACGTGCTTACAAGGGTGCGATGGCGACATCAACAAAGCGGATGGCGAACCCCACAGCTCTTCTTTTGCCGGGATTAGTCCGCATATGTCGGGAGGAAGATTCAAGCTGTCAGAGAGGCCTGTGACGATAGAAAAGGAAGCGCGGGAGGTGCTTCCTGAGTTTATTTCAACATCATTGATGTCCAAATATGGTAATCTGATAGCAAGAGTCCTCAGTACGGGGTCCCGTGAACGTGATCCTCCGGCCGGTCTTGTCCGGCCCCACAGCCAGCGTCCGCTCAGTTACGATATGCTCCTTGGCTGCAGCCGAGCCGAGTACCCACATAACGGAACTCGTCGCCGAGATTGAAGGGTCTTTACTTTGAAACGCTCATGGAGCGCTTTACTTTGTTAATTTTCATTCCAAGAACGCCGCAGAGTTGCCGTGGCGGAACTCTGGACATTGTTGATCTTAAGGTATCAATCCAATATCAACCCTTTCGCGCGATGAATATATACTGCGATTGCCGGCCGGAGAGCGCATGCACTTAGACCCGGTTTCTTGCGTTACCGCGGACTCTGGCCAAAACGTCCATGGTTTCTGGACGAGATCGCAACAAAGATTGGATCTTCCGGGCCCGATATCAGGTACTCAAAGTCGCGACATAGGTGACACCATGTGATCTTCTCCGATGACGCTACTGATCATCTATCTTCTGCCAAGCTCCATTCTGCAAGCTTACGCTGGACCAATACCAGATGGCGATGACTGGACATGGAGATTGTCAGGACAAAGTCGCTGATTTCGAAGCTACAACGCAAGCCCTCCACGAAACGACCATTTCAACTCGCCCAGCATGCCACCACTACTCATGTGTGGAGAACACATAGATACTCTCGCTGGTACACGCTCACAGTGAAGTAGTTCGGCGGAAAGACTCTGTTTGTTTGATAGCGCGAACCATTTCAACGCCACAGGACGCGAGTCCATGACGTCCCCAAAGGAAGAATGTCAACAACGGATTGAGGCTTTGAGCCATGAAACACTCTATTTCTGCCGTACCTATTGATGAATATGCCTCATGGTTGGCGATCATGTCATTACTTATACTACTAATCAATCATCAACCTTTGATCCACCCGGCGGTTCAATCTCGTCGTGACACGTTTGCTACATAAAGTGATCCACCCTTGTCCTTATACGCGCGACGTCAACCACACGCACATCTACCGGCTCATTCCATTTACATTGACCTTGTGTTATTCTACGTCGCCGAGAGACTTCTAAGGAGGTCAACACACTGTATGCGACTCTAAATGGACAGATTCTATCCGTATGGCATTCTGAATTGACGGTGGCACAGACATGTGACCAGCCTCTCTGAGAGCGAGTATATGGGATCGTTTCGTTTCGGAGGCTTATTAAGGGTACCTATAGAAAGAAGCTGCTCAAAATCCATCGTGTGGCTGCGAGCCATGCTGTCCTTCTGCAGGAGAGGACAGACCGGCGGGAAACACCGTCGGGGATTTAACACAGTTCCTGGCCACTCTTAGCGGAGATCTGAGTTTTGTGCTGGGGCTTAGAAAATAGAAGGCAGAATACTCTTTCAGCCACTCTGAAAGGGTAATCTGCGAATGATGGGGACGGAGACGAGTTAGATCGAAATGAGCTAGTTCACCGACGAGACAATGTCCATAATATCGACGGCTTCCGCCTTCAAAAGCCGGACCTATACTAGTCTCAGTATGGCCATGAAATTTCTGAGAGTAGTGTCAGAGTTCGTCCCGTGGGCTCTGACTGTCTTCCAGCCGTATGTTCGCTACTGCGTAGGAGGTGACACGACCTCAGTAGTACTTTACAGCATATGCGTGGAATTGACATTTGTGACGAATTCACATGCTACCACTGAACACAAATTAGTGACAATTGTCCCAGTAAGTTTTGATAGAATACTCTTGGACTTTTGGCAACCTGCCAAACTACGGAGCCAATGATACCACTTCCTTGAGCGGTTGAGCGAAAGGCAAAACCCGGCAAAATCCAGGTTGAAGTTGATTCTTCTCTCACGGTCGACAACGCTACTTATCAGCCATATGCCAGTGCTTTTGAGGCTCTATTCCGAGGCCGTCGTACTCACTTGGGACTCAGCGAGGTTCCCGAGGCTCTCGGTCATATTCCCAAGCACCTTGTCAAGCGATTCCCCACATACCCCTGCAGCAGAAGCGGTGAACTTCTAGGCCGTCTAATCAGCGTGAATAAGACTTCCCCAGTCGATACCGACATATGTGGCCGCGTGGGAATGTAAGTTCCTGAAATCGGTTTGTCAGGGCTTTCAGCATCCGACCACCTTCGCACTATGCCACTTGGATAATTTCTCAGAAGGATGTAAACCTAATTGACAGCTTGACTGTTATGGAGGAACGTCTGTTAGAACCATGCCGCCCAAGGACTACCGCGTCGACCGACAAACGCCAACTAGATTCACACCATCATACAAGTCTCTAGGCAGACACAACCAAATGCGGTGATAACGGAGTTCACTCGAGTACACAGAATATCGGAGTGAATGGCTGACGCACGAACATTGGCCAAAGTCTAAGCCACGACTTCGACCATATGTCCAAACACCAAAAACAAACAGAATGATCTATACCCATGTCCATAGCTCAAGAGTCATGACTTGCGAACGGAACCTATCAATCACCCTGGCGCGCAACCAATGAGCAAGGGTGCAGAGGATACTCGTGTAGTTGCGTCTTGACAGGATCGGCTCCCACACACGAATCGACCTACTTTTGAAATTGGACATCAATTTCCTGAACGCACGATTCGTTTGTTGATATTACCGTGGATACTTCTTACTCACGCACTCGGTTCCCTACTCTAAATCCGAGCATCTGGCGAGGTAAGTGTTTATTATAAAGGACGGATTTACAGCTTCCCAACGAACGGAAATCCATCTACTTACTCCCGTGACAGACTGTTCATCACTTCCATCTACACAGATACTACTCACAATGAAGTTCACCATTCTCATCTTTGCCGGCGCCGCAGCTGCTTTCGTCAAGTGCGGAACGCCCTCAAACGACCAGGTTAGCCCCTTCCCTGCACTCACGCCGATCATCAATCCAGCGGAAATCACCAGCCAACTAACCACAACATTCAATAACAGTTGAGGGGAGGATGTGACGACAATCAGGCAGGTGGATGCGAGATGTGGTGCGGCAAGCGTGTAAGCAGGTCATGAACCTTTCAGCGTAGGGATCCATTCTTACGAGTCTTCATATAGTGCCCGAGCAGCAACTTCCCCGTTTGCATCCCGTAAGTCATTCACAAGGCCGTTTTACGAGTCGCATGGAGTATTGAATATCGAGCAGGAAGGCGAATAAGGACTACGACTGTGTCTGCGCGCGCACCTAAACGGAGGAGATACAAAGCCCGAGAAATTGTCATGCAACAGGCTTTGCCTGATAGCTCATGGATAGCGCCATTGGATGGCTGCGGAAAGTGGTGGGTATACGCAAGTTGATAGGAACAATTGCATGCAAAAGTGTACATATTCGATTCTCCATTACTAGTATTATTTTCGACCTAACGACACATCCATATATCCAGATGCCCTAATAATATGATAATTGTTTTTGCTTTCAGCCTCCGGTCGAAATGATTCCAACTGCTCCTTAGGAAAACAGAATCGGAAAAGCTGTTCTCCCACATCAATACACTCCTGGGTAGTCTAAACATTGAATATTTGTTCACACCGGTGAAGTAAGGTCCTTGCAAAAAGTAGCCTGGCCAGCCTAGTTATTGCCACAGTCAATGCACATTCATGAGACCGGAGAATTGAATGATAATTCATACCACATTGAGTGTGCAGCATCTTGGCCGACGTGAACCATGAATGAGGCAAGCCGTGTTGAGAGCGGTCAGAGAAGACGTGTCAGGCACGGCTGTGAGATTCGAGGTAGCTAGACTTGACGATTAGTCCATGGCGCAAGTGTAAGATGATGAAGTGAGTTGCGAGCTTACGAGGAGCACAGTCCATGGTGGTGAGGCCGTCCACATCGATACGGCAGCAAAGTGGGGTGCCCAACGTGCAGAGCGCAGCTCCTGAGTCTACTTCGCAGACATCTGGTTCACTGGTGCTTTCGCCGGTTTGCCTTGGTACTTGGTTTCCAGCTGGAGCCGCAATAGCGAACGCCGCGAAGGCTGCGAAGAAAATAATGATTGATCTCATTGTGAGAATACTGAAGGAAAACGTTGGATGGGATGACGTCCTACGAAAAGGGAACTGATGACAAGGAGACTTGGAATAGAATGGCTTATCAAGTTGCGGTGCGAGCACGAAGTTATATGTCACAGATTGGTTGAGAAAATTGCGAAGGGCTTCATGCCTGGCAATGCTATCTTGATAAACGGCCGAAACAGCAATAGCCCAAGTCGTGTCTTATCGGCGAGGGAATGTCGCTCCACAGTCTCAAGGCCCATCTTGGCAAAGGAATTGACCGCAAGCAGACGTTCTTGAAACGGCTGTGGAGGTTTTGCAGCCACCAGAACTCGATGCACAGCCCTAGCTACAGTGGTTCACTCAGAATAGGTGTATGGAGGCTGAGGAAAGTACCCGCGAGCCGGGATGCTGACCGTTGACGTGGCTGAGACAACCGGGAAAGGGGCCGGATTTTGGAGTGCCCCCCTCAAATGTAGGCCCGATAAAGGTGTATTGGCCCCTTGGCTCGGATGGCAAGTGAGGAGGGAACAAGTCGAAAAAGCAAGGTTTGCTGTCATGGATACTACTTCGTGGCGCCGTTGCAAAGCCACTGACGAATCAGTGGTATAATGTGTTGATGATCTGGATTTCGGAAGTCTCAGGCCGTGCATATTCCGTTACAGTCAATGGACATCTCCATGGGGGCACGCAGAACGTCCACAATGTTTAAATATCACGGGAATAAATGATGTTTGTTTTTTGAATGTCGCAGAGGACTCTCTGAAACACAATCTCGATCGACTGAATGCATCTGCACCTTCCAAAAATGCGGACTAGTGTCGTCTACCACGGTTGGACCCCATTGGCCCTGATGGCTTTTCCAACGTCTTCGTCTCTGTTGCCCTCGACCACATCCTTGATGAATTTTCCAGCTTCGGCCGGGTCTCTTGCGCCCATCTACCGCATCGTTAGTATGCTCCTTTGAAAAAGTGCACGAAGGGTCTTGACCTTCTTCATCTCTTCTGCGCCAACACCGCCAATACCTGTGGCTACATAGCCTGGGTTGATACCCCAGACCTTGACCCCATCATTCAGAAGGATCATGAGGTATTTGTAAAAGTACACTTTCCTCAATGATAGACGTTCAAATCCTAGGTAGGTAGCGGAATGACAGATTAGCAAAAGAAACAAAAGAGAAAAGTGCTCAAAAAGAGCAAAAGCTCCAGGACTCGAACTTGCAAGGTTCGCACCCATACGAAATAATTTTCTGCTCTGTTGTTTATACCGCTCGGCTAAGGCGGTCATATCAAATAGCTCCCAGCGAGTGGGAAACTGACGGTGCCATCAACAACAGCTACTAGATAGGAAGTCATGATTGAGCTGCCCCACCGCCGCCGGCTGAAAGGCTGCCGCTGTGAAATTCACCTCATTGCCATTGCCATATTTCTTATCGTCAAGGCTGGTCTGTCTCTCTTTGCTTCTCCTGTGCGGAACGCTCGGTTAGAACGCGAAGTTCCCGCTGGGTAATCGCACCCAACTTTGACGAATCGACACAATCATGGCTTCGAGGCCCCAAGCCTTCAGCAATTGGAAATCGATTAAAAACTCAACAATAAGAAGCATTGTCCCAGTCTCACGATCCCATAATCTGCCACTCTTCACACATTTGGTCTCCTAAAACCAGCCCTGCAACCCAATCGTAAACTTCTGCGCATCCCTCTCCAGCTCCCCCCTCATCGCCTTCAACTCCTCCACATCCCAGTTCGCATGCACGAACCGCCCATTCAGGAACCTAGCCTCCTCGCTGACCGCCCAAACCACAACGTCGCCCGGCAGCGCAATGTCGTCGTACACCAGCCCCAACTCCTCCACGCGCGGCGCAAACTTCTCCGACATAGCCGTGCCGCCGATCAGGCCCGGGTGCACCTGCAGGACGAACATGTCGGGGTTCTCGTCGTGGAAGTACTCGAACATCTTGGTCGCGGCGCTCTTGGACGCGCGGTAGGAGGAGAAGCCGGGCATGTACGGCAGGTGGATCGCGGCGGTCGAGATGTGGATTACGCTTGCGTCGGGGGCGGCGAGCGGATGGAATGCGCGAAGGAGGTTGAAGTTGCCCTTGACGGTGACCTCGAAGGCGCGCCACCAGTCGGTCGCGTCGGAGTCTGGGATGGTTTTGAGGTCGGACATGTAGCCCGCGTTGGCGACCAAAATGTCAATCTTGGAGTTGATGGCATTGTGGAAGGACTGCAGGGCGGAGTACGTGGCTTCAGCCGAGGTGATGTCGGCGGCGTAGAGATGGACTTTGACGGAGGGGTTGAGAGCTTCGATGGCGGACTTGGTGGTCTCAAGAGAGGCGGTGCTGCGACCAAGAAGACCGAGAGTTGCGATGTTGGACTTGGCAAGGGATTGGGCTATGGAAGCTCCGATGCCTGCGCCGCCGCCAGAGATGAATGCGTGTTTGCCCGCAGTCGAAAGGGATGGGAGCGAAGGGGAGATAGCCGCGTAGGGCTTCTGGTGGTAGGTCTTTGTGGGAGATGGAAAAGACATGGTTCCTGCTGTTTCGATTATTCTCAGTCAAGGTACTATGTGTATTTCGATGTTGTTACTTTGTTGAGAACGACGAGCAGACACAATTTCTTTTCATCCTGTCTTTATTGCCCGTTGCCGAAAGACAGGTTGATAGAAATAACATCGACATCTTGACAACACCGTCGTCCCCGTTGGAAAACCATGTAATCATTTCCAAGGCTCCTGGATTGCGAAGCAAACGCCATTACGAACATGGCAAGACAAGATGGTCCGATAACGTTGGAAGACGGGATCCGGTCGATGTTGCGCCGACTCCACTTCATCAGACGCCAAGCACCGACACGGCCCCATTCCGCCGATAACGTTATCCGGCTTTGGATCAGGCCGGCCGGCTCAGGGGCGCAACGTTAGCCGCTAGACATGCTTACGCAGCATACTTCTAGCCTCAACGCTTACGAAAGGGGTTCCGTTTGTTAATCTGGCTTACGAGTCACTCGTAAGATGGCTGGGTGAAGCGGCTGACTATTCAGTGCTGGGCATTTGCGATCATGAATGAGATGGATCTGAGAATTGGATGCGAACTGGTTCGACAGCATTTAAGGGACGAAAGGGATAAATGCGACCGTTTTCCTGCGGATTCCTCGTTGCGACGAACAGTCTTGGAACACCCCGGAACAGCCCCCGCATTTCAAGGTCCCTACCCCTGGCGATCGGTCCTCAGCGGCGAGACCAGCTCCAAATGCAAGGGGTGACATTCCGGTGACCACACCTGCACTTTGCATTCCAAAAAGAAACCTTCTCGAAAAACTCAACGATGGACATTCTTTTTCTTTGCTTCCATCTTCCGAACTTCTCCTGAAGAGCCGTCCGTGCGCGGGCGGGGGTGCCGAACCACGCAGCATCCGAGCGGCCTGATTTAGCTTCCGCCTTGGGCCGAACTATTGATGTGACGGTGGAATCTACGACGGTGACAACTGAGCTAACCTTCCATCCTCATTTAAACAAACGCGATAAGATACCACCAAACGCGTCTTGTCTAGTCATGAAAGGGGGGCCCGGCCACAACCCCTCTGCGATGCCTCTGGAATGCAGCGTTGGCACATAAGGGATGAACCCTCCCGCGTGGGCAAACTCTAAAAATTCACTCATCCTCACCCGCAGTCCTTCGTTTTCTTCAGTTTTCTTCGCCATGGGGATTCGCTCGAGAGGCCGCTTCAGTCGCAGCCCTACGCTCAACAACCATAACATGGGCATCATCGGAGTGTACCCGGCGCGGCGCTTCGGCCGCTTCACCAACGCCGCCGCGGTGGGCGTATTTTTCCTGTTCCTGTGGGTGTTCCGCGAGCAGCTGCGCCTCGACCGCGTTGGCATGGATTCGAGCATCGTGCCGTGGATCCCGCGCATGTCGCACCAGGACATCTTCGACTTTGAGCCGGTCGATTCGGAGGTCATCCGGGCAGTTTGCGACAAGACGGAGTGGGATGCGGGGAAGGCGATGCAGGTCGTGTTCACGTGCGACAACAACGTCGGCGGGATCGGGAGCATCCGCAACTCGATCCTGAACTGCGTGCGGTACACGATGCTGGCCGGCGGCTCGTTGGTCATGCCGCGCATCTTCAAGCGCAACGACTCCGACATCTCTCACATCCGGACGGGGCGGCGGCAGGAGATGGAGTACCTCTTCGACAGGCAGCACTTCATCGACTCACTGCACCTCTCGTGCCCCCAGCTGCGGCTCTACAACGATACCGACGAGGTCTACGAATCCCTCGGCCCCGCGCGCACATGGTCCCTCGGCCTCTTCCCGGAATCTCTCGTCGACGAGGACAACATCCCCAGCACGGGCATCGAGCACCCGGAAAGGTGGCAGTCGCAGCTGCACCGGTGGCTCGACGACATTGACAACACCACCGACGTGGCGCCGACGGGGCTGCCCACCGAGGGTCCGATGATGGTGGACCTGGGCCGGTCGTACCTCACGTTCCCGATCAACAGCGACGGCGAGCTCTTCGCGACCACGTTCGGCAACATCCTCAAGTTCCGCGCGGACGTGCGGCAGCTCGCAACCGCCACGATCCTCAGCATCGACCGGCACTTCTTCGGGGCGCACCTGCGCACCGAGAAGGACGCGCTCGACAGCTGGAACCCGACTAACCCGACGTGGGAGTGGTCTGAGTACAGCAAGCAGACGGACGCCTTCTTCGACCAGGCGGGCCGGTGGGACCTGTCGGTCATGTACGTCGCGTCCGACAACGAGACGCAGGTGGACATGCTCGAGGCGGACGCGGAGCCGCGCGGGGTGCGAGTTGTGACGAAGCAGAACCTGCTAACGGGGAAGAACCGCAAGATGCTGGATGCGATGACGTGGGATCAGAAGGGCATGATCGACTTTCTGGTCATGTTGGGGGCGGCGCAGTTCGGAGGCGTGGGACACTCGAGTTTTGCGTGGAACGTGGCGCTGAAGAGGCACATTTTCTCCGAGGAAGGGTACCTGAAGGGCCCGCAGATGTTGAGCGATGAGTTGAGTCAGATCTACGGGACGCCGGGGAAGTATCCCGAATATGCGTCGTGTTTGTGGCCATAATCTCGTTGCAGGTAGCTGAAAGAAAGTCGGTTTCATGATCACGCTCCAATGAAGGTGAAAGGGTACAGTCCTTTTACTGTGCTGCGACTGTGTAAGCCGGCGATAACGTTATTGGCTGATTAATCAGGCCTCTCGATCACCACTGAGGACCCAAATCCTTCCCTCATCACAACGCTTGCTTTATCCTGATAACGTTGAAATATTTTTTTTTGTCTTGGACCTCGGCTCCTTGACTTCGCCAATTATTGAGACAGCGAGAAAGCCGACATGGGTCCATCCGATACCAATGTGAGACCCCGCTGAGTCCAAAATCATCATTTGGCTAGATTACTAATTCATCAACAAGAAGACCAGACGTGAGCGCGGTGTTCTCGCTCAGCGCGAATATCGCAAGCGCCATGCGTCCAAAGTACAGAAGCTTCAGGATGAAAACAATAAGTTGAAAGATGTTATTGGGAACATCGATAAGATTCTTCGCCGGCAGGGAGTCCTATCGGATCACCTGAAAGCCGCCATGTCAGAAGCCCGCGAGGTTGCAGGCATCACAACGGAGGATGAGCCAGAGACTTCTCTGGAACAGGGCGCTCCTTATATCATGCAGTCCATAGAGCAAACCCCGCCGCCGGACCCCGCCCTTGAGGAAGTTATCCGAACCGACCCCCGGCTGGCATCCTCACTCGTCCCTGATGGTCGTGTGAGCCCTCGTCTAGATTACGGCCTCTGGCTCGATCCAGACCGATTGGTGCGCATCCTCGAGCCGCCCGCAGACATTATCCCGTACTTGGGGAGCCGTATGAATACCCTTGCAGGCTGCATCTTCTGGGCAACCATGAACTACACCATCGATCTGTGGAACTCCCGCTCGGAACCTCTATCCACAAGACACCTCGACCGCATGTTTAACCACTCCGAGCATCTCCGGGATCGTCAGTTCCTTTTGTCTCTAGCACAAGCGAGGGTCGATTACAAAGAGAAGGGTTTCATGTATCGAAAGCTCACTGAGCAGTTCGAGCGCAACGCCATGAGCGGCCTTTTCAAGCGCATCAAGGAGGACTACGACAAGCAAGGGCAGCCGAGTAAATGGTGGAAACGCCCCGAAGAGGTCGCGAACTCTGCCCTTGACGTGATGGATGAGAGCCAAAAGGCGAGGTTTCAAGCTGTCATCGATGGGAAGGGCACGAAGGAGGATGCGTTAATGCTGCGGGCTCTCATCACTTGGTTGGCGCAGAACTACATTTGCTTCGGCGATGGACCACGATGGAGCTCGGTATTTGCTTCGGTGGGCATCGGGAGCTGGTTCAACGAGTTTAAACGGCGAGAGGCCCTGACCGCCTGAGAATTGTGATTTAATTTTATGAAGTGTTCTTCATCCCTTCTTTCTCACAGTTCCATGCGTCAGGCTCTCTCCATGATGTCTTGGTTCTCCTCCGTGTATCGCTCAGTTTCCCACGTGGTCCTCCGTTTCTTCACCTCAGACATGACCTTGTACCTCTTCGTCCAATTATTCTGGCAAACCAGCAATCGATCCTCCTTCTCAACTTTGAGCCCACCGCCGACGTCCTGAACAACACTGCCGTCGCCTTCGATTACCTCGCAGGCGACAAAGGCCCGGCGATCATCCAACCAATCCTCGCCGATAAGCATGGCTCCATCCCAGCCCCTCTCCCAGCTTCCGGCGTAGAAATTCACCCTCTTCAACTTCCCGCCGCCGTTCTTTTTCACCAAGAACTCGAACGGCCAGCCGGCGCTGTAGATCCCCAGCGAAGGCTCCGCATTGGACTTCGTGCCCTTGCTGCAGTCGGACTGGTCCTCCATCAGCATCATCTCATGCAGCCTTCTCAGCCCCATCTTTTCGATATCCAGTTGCCGACGGCACTCGCTAGCCATCTCGAAGAAGATCGTCGCGTTTTCGAGGTTGGGAAATTTGGTGGCAATGGCTTCGAGGTGGTCCACGGGCCATGTCCCATTCTGGTTGATGTCGATGGTGAGGGATTTGAGGTTGGGAAGCATGGCGCCCAGGGCAGTCAGTTGGCCGGGACTCATCACATTCCGCTGTCGATATGTGCTCTCGGGCTCGTGCCAGTCGAGGCTTGTCAGAGACTCTGCATGGTGGCGGAGGAATGGTTCGACGGAGGCTCCCGTCTGGCCACTGCTTCTCCAGGAGAGATGTTTGAGGGAGTTTTCCGGGAGGGCAGCGATGAAGTCCTTGGCCCAGTAGCCGTATGTCGAGAAAGAATTCAGAGATTTGAGGCGCGGGACGAGAGTTGTGACATTCGGTGTCTGACCGTCTCTGATTGCGAGATGCCTGATTTGGGAGAAGTCCATTGCCTCAAGCCAAAGGTCAAGGTTCGTCATGTTCTTTTGCGCTTCCGACATGGGAAGACCCTTCAACCATGCCCACGCCTTTCCTTCATAGACCCAGTCCGCATACCTATCGAACGTACTGCCCCATCTGTGTAGAGTTCGTACCTCCTCCCATGGCCTGTCATTGAAAGCATATCCTTCCAAATCCAGAGACTCGAGTGTCGAAGGGTAGCGTGAGCCCGAAGGGTGCTTGAGTGGGAAATTGTATCGGTCAGGATGCTCAGAACATCCCAGACTCGTGACGCGGAGTTTCAGACTCTTGATTATTGAGCACTTGGCGAGGGCGTTGTGGACTTCGCTCATGGAGTCGAGGAAGGGGTCGCCAGGCTCGCGTTCACCGTACCAATCGGTCTGGCCTGAGGGTACGACGGTGTCAATGTATGTGGGACATTTGAAGGGCGGTCCCTCGGGCGATGATGCGGCGGCTGATACAGTGAGGAAGAAGAGGGAGAAGATGAGTAATCTGCGAAAAGTCGAGTACATGATTGCGACGTCTGCGTTCTCCCCAGGCTCAATATGGTGTAGCGAATGTAGGAGACTGCGAATCGCACATTCTACGATAGCAGCATATATGTAGCGGTGACAAAATGGCACCGTTTCCTACCACCCTTATGCCAGATGATGGGCTGCAAGTAAGAGACGCGTTGAAATCTCAATATTGATGGGTTGATTGAGCGAGTGGACGCGACCCCTGCACCTCTCTAGGCAACCACACCGCACCTTGATGTTTGGACCCAACAGGATTTATGAGCCTTGGCATTTGTGTCTGCACGGACAAAGGACACCATTGCAAGCTAGAGGAAGCGCCGTCCTTCGGTGTGAGATCCTTCCAGCTCGGTGTGCTCGGTGAGCCTCGGTGGGGCATGACCACCCTCGTGTTGTTCGGTGAGGCACCGTTGAAGACAGCCGGGCCCTAATGAGTCGCCGGCCATGCGGGAAAGTGGCGACCCGGAACCTTCATGTATCGATCAAATGCTTATCCTCTTCTTCTAAGTTCGCAGGACTGAGTAATCAGGCGTTTTACCAGCAGATGGTCCAATGCTTGTCAAGTTTCGCTCATTTAACCTTATTTGAGAGTCTAATTTAAGCAATGTAACTCTGTCTTCCCACGCTGACCGGCGAATCCGGGGCATCGCCTGCTTCGCACCGGCGGACTTCAGCTTTCCTACCTGCTAAAGGCCTCTTCACCAAGCAAAACTCACGATAATTGGCATTGAGACAGCGGTGGAGACACCCGGCCATCAAAGATGAAGGTTCTCATCGCGACGATGCCCTTCGCGGGACACATCCATCCGATGCAGCCAATTGCCCTCGCCCTGATCCGCCGCGGCCACACCGTTGCGTGGCTCACCTCCGCATCTCATGAACACCTCGTCCAGCCGACCGGGGCAACCTTCATCCCCTCACCACTGGCTCTCGCTCGCCACGATGAACGTGTGTTGGTGCCAGATGCGGGAACATCGGGCCTCGCGGCTGTGGTGTCAACGCTGCGAAAACTCTTTCTCGATCGCATTCCGGATCAAGTTGCTGCCTACCAGGAGGTTCTGTCAACCTTCCCGGCAGATATTATCCTGGTGGATCTGACAGCATACGGGGCGCACTGCTTTCGCGACCTCACTGGAACTCCATACGCGACGTTGGGGATCAATCCGCTTGTCACATTCGACCCAGAAGTCCCGCCCTGGGGCACCGGCTGGCAACCACCTTCAACGATATTCGGGCGGTGGGTGAATTCGGTAGCTCACACAGTAGCAACTTGGCTGTTGTATCCGAAGCTCACAGCAATACTGAACACGCACCGGGCCAAACTGGATCTTCCTCCCCTTCCACCGACGGGATTCTATGACACGACAAGGTCTGATGTCCTGCACATTATGCCAACAACTCCTGCGTTTGAGTTCCCACGCGACTTTCATCCATCCATCAAGTGGGTTGGACCATTGCTTCCACTGTTCACCGAGGAATCATTCACTTCACCGCCAATCTGGTGGAATGAGATGCTGGCACATCCGAAAGAGAAAGTCGTTCATGTCACGCAAGGAACCTGGGCTACCACCGCAACAAACCTCATACTCCCGACACTCGCAGCACTACGCGATCGTTCAGATCTGCTGGTCATCGCCACCACGCCAGACGCGGAAAAAGCCTTGCCAGTATCATCTTTACCCAGGAATGCGAGAGCGGCGTCATTTGTACCTCACGCAAAGCTCTTGCCACATGTTGGGGTGATGGTCACAAACGCAGGCTACAACGGCGTCCTGGTAGCGTTGAACTGTGGAGTCCCGTTGGTTTGCGCCGGCCAAACGGAGGACAAGGCAGATGTCAGTTCAAGAGTTGCTTGGAGCGGGGCCGGGATCGATCTTGGCACGGATACGCCGAGTATGAAGGCTATTAGGGATGCGGTTGCCAGGGTCGTTCGAGATGAGAAGTACCGCAAGGCGGCGGAGAGAATTAGGGTTGATTTTCAGAACCATGATGGGCCCAAAGAGGCAGTTGACGCTTTGGAAGAAATTGTTAATCGGAATCAGAAGCGAGTCTCATGGACGCATCAACCCTGATAGTGCCTAAGGTCTATACAGCGTCATATTACCTCGCATCAAGCACGGTTTTAAACCTTGGTTAACCCGCGCTGTGGCCTCATAGGTGCAGTCTATAACAGCGAAGATGATAATTCTAATCTCCTTGCGAGTGACACCATACATCGACCCCACACAGCTGGGTGGTAAGAAATAGCAGCAACGCATTGATCACATAAGTTTGCAGCACTTTTACAAAGCTGGAGGTTCTGTGCTACCTCTGTATGTATCATTTTGCCAGTAACCCCTTCACACGACGTACAGTGAAAATCACAAGCTAAGCCCGCACATGGTGCCTTCTCTGTATTGTTGTTGTGTAAATACTCCGAGACCGTGTCATTTGTAACTGTCTCTAAAGTCTCATCGCGCTCAGCATGATAAAATTGAAGTAGAACTTTATTGAAGCTTTAGTCTAAGATATTTTAGGGAGAAAGTTAACCCATGGGGTTACTTGATAAACATCTCCAGGTAGAGATCTTAGACTTGTGAAAAGTAGTAGAATTGTGAGCAAGCGGGCGACTGGGTAAAGGACATAGGTTGTGGTAGAAACGACCAGTGGCATTTGATAGACAATCCGGTAGAAATCATTCCACCGGTTATCAATCCAAGTACTGACAATCCCCAATGCCTGTAGGACCTTTTCGATGCCAAGCGAGTCCTGGGCGCTGAGTTTGGGGTCAATGGCCGAGTTACTGACGAACATTTCGAACTGTTGCCAAAACTCTCGAAAATTTGGTCCTACCTCTAGCCAGGAGTGAGCGGTCGTGGAACATACCCACCTCAATTCTTGTACTTCTTCCGAGTCGAGTTTGCCATCCTCAAAAGCCTTGGCCCAAAGATGCCGAAGCCGCTGGTAGTGACCAAGAAATGAGGCATACTCGGACGAGATCTCCTGGAGTGAACCACTTGTGTTTATTGGTATTCCTGGGGGTTCTTCGGAGAGAAGCTGACTCCACGTCATTTTTTCCGCAGGTATTGAGAGAATATATGTCTCCAGTGTGTTGCGATCCACATAGAAAAAACAAGGATGTAGGACGCGCTCCCACCAATCTTGACTCATGGTAGGCAACTTGTCAAACTCCTCAGTAAACACCTTGAGGCTCCATGTAGTGAGACCGTTCTTAATATGGATTGAGAAGGTGCCGAAAGCTAGTGCGATTCCAGGCAATGTTGCTATGATGGCGCAACCGATCCTCCAAGCAACAAGCTCAGCTTGAGACGGAAAATCGAAATTCCAAGCAATGCAATGCAGGCCCCCGAAAAGCAAGGAGGATATGGCCAGCCAAATAACCATCGATGAATCTTCGGCTCCCATCGAAGCAAGGTCATTACGAATCCGTCTCTTCTCTTGATTTTTCCTAATAAGGTGTGGATTCACTGCCAGCCAGGGTGACACAGTCCACTGGGAAAGTTTTACGATACGGGGCGCTGTTATCCGCTCTCCATGGCAGGAATGACGAATCCTTGTTGGCTCTGAGGTATCCTTGGGTTTCCACCAGCTAGCCAAGTACGTCAAAGTTGCAACAACAGCGAACGCAACAGTAGCGATCTCGAGCTGCGTTACATGTAACCCTGTCGCTGCGCGGACGGCTACGTTGAGAACAAACCATGTAATTTGAAGGATCGCAAGACTTTTAAGTAATGAATTTGCTTTGCTTTTGTCCTGGATATCATCGTGGCTCAGTTCCGGATGCTTGAGGGGGTGCTCGGTGTCAATATTCCACTCATATTGCGACGTTATTTTCGTTGCAGTGAGGGGTTTATAGGATGGTACCCAGGGGTCATATACGGTACATTTCAAGATCCCACCCACCTGAGCGTAGTATGAGTGAAGAACCGTCCATGCCCGACGATCGTGGAAGACGAGAGCTCGGCTTTTCCTCTCGCCATGTGCGCTGGTAACCCCATTGCTGCCCACAGCATCACCACAGCGTCTCAGTACTGAGTCCCTTGCAGAAGAGCGGACGGTTTGATTCTGATACTGTGAAGACTCCTGGTAGGGGCTGTCGGTGGCTGATTCCTCGTCGCCGGGGGGTTTCGGAATCTGAGGCGGAATATTCTGGTTGGCTTGATCTGAAATGTTACTTGATGAGTGCGCTCTATCAAAGCCTTGAGGCTGGGATTCTGTTTGAACTTGGAAATCATTCGAGTCTCCTGGATTATCGTTCGATGGCGTAGAGACCGTCCGAGAGTGAGGGATTTTAAGGCGAAGTAATCGATACAGCGTCTCGTGACATGGTGGGTATTGAGCCTTCCAAGATTTCATGAATACCACTCCATTTATACTCAATGGTCTTCGTTATCCGATCCCTGATCTTGGGTAGGTTTTCGTCGAACTGCCGCAGTTCGTCGAGAGCCTGTCGAAGGTCGCAGATAGCCTTAGAAAGGATGAATTCTGGAAAGAGAATGTTGATTGCCATCCACTTGACCCGCCGAAGAAGTCTCTGTAGCGTAGTGTCGTCGGGGCTTGGCACGTTGAGGAGTGTAACGGTCCAAGTGCAAGCAAATATGGTGATGCCACAACTCCAGACCAAGTTGAGGGTGCCTCGAGTATTTGGCCCCTCCTGCCGGCCAACCCTTTCTTCATTTGTCGTTTCACTGGTCTCACCGGCGACCAGAGCCGCGGTCGCAAGGACGAGAAGGGCCATCCTGAGAATGTATAAACGCCGGGGACCGAAAGCCATGATAGTGAAAATTCAAGCACTGGACAGAAGGACCTGACTATAGAGGTTGGAAACACCAGCGAAAAGGCTCGACTGTCATACAAGAATGGGTAGTATCTTATGTGGAGGTAATGTGTGGCAAAACAAATAAGAAGGCTGTGATTTACCCCTGCTATGACCCATGCTAGGCGTGTCCTCGCGAACGAATGCCTCTGTGATCCAACGCAGCCCGAAGGCAGACGCGTCCCAGCCTGCATAAGGTCGATTCCAATTCACCGAGCAGGAGGCTTTTTCTCAGCCGTGCTGACAAGTATGGTAGCACAACACTAGTAAATGGGGCTGTAATGCTGTGGGCGATGCCGCATTTATCCAGCCAAGGAGGCTGCGTATCCGGCAGTTTGCAACCGCTGATAGGTTACCTGTTCTCCTGCTCTTCTCACTTTTGTGGGTTGCCAGAAAGAAAAGAGAACAGCGCAAACATTACCATTTTGACAAATTTCCAGGAGCACAACCGACCTAATTATTCTCCGGGCCGGCCCCACTCCGATCGGCGCTCGTCGTTACTCTCGCCGAGTCCGCCGTGCATAAGGTAGCTATCAATCGGTAGTCAATGTTTCCTTCAGCAAATCAGCCGGCTGTAGCCCACGCCGGAACGGAACAGGTGATGTCCAAGACCGAACGTGTTCCACGACGCCTCTCACCCGATGTCCCCTGACCCTCCCATGCTCGCCAACTGCGCTATTTCCCCTCGCAACACCGAGAAGCCCTCGCCGATACCAACGCGAACTTACTCTCAATCTCGAAGGCCCGATTCCCACCACCGCCAAGGCTCGGCCCTATCACCCTCAACCAAGGTTTAAGCCTCACTGTGGGCTCTCAATTTTCGCGATTGGCGAGCCGACAAATACCGCACCAGGGCCCCCTAAAACGCCCAGACCTCTCTCGCCGCATCACCCTATCGCGCGTCGTATCGCCGCACGCCATCGGCGGCCGGAGCACCTCCTGACTTACTCGGACGCCGCCCGAACATCCCATCCCTCCGGCGATTCGACCTCCGTCCGCTCTGAAATCCGAGAGCGTGACTCGGGAGGGTGGGTAGCCCGTCGGGAACGGTGGGTTAGCTGATGAAGGCGGTGGATACATCGTGGACCGTGACACCTTGGCGCTCGGGAATAAACCTGGGAAGCAAAAGTGTGTGTGTTGTAGCATTATCCAGCGAGGTATCATTTCTCTATCAACAAAAGTAAAAAACACAAAAGCTATGATGTCTATGCTCCGAAATCGCAGGACCGCGCCAGCCCGCCGCCCCTGAATGCGCCAATGCCAAGTCTCAACCACGTGTAAATCTCTTTTGTATCACTCTCTCATTTCTTAAGTCTCCTAGAAGCTCTTGACCTTCTGCATGCTGCCCTCCTCGACCAGGGCGCGGTGGAGGTCGAACGAGTTGAAGAGCAGGTGGGGCTCGTGGCCCATGCCCTTGCGCAGGCACTCGAACTCGGCCTTGTCGAAGTAGCTCTGCAGGATGGGCTGGTAGACGGGGTGGGCGCACTTCTTGATGATGAGGCGGGCGCGCTCGCGGGGGCTGAGGCCGCGGACGTCGGCGAGGCCCTGCTCGGTGACGATGACGTCGAGATCGTGCTCGGTCTGGTCGATGTGGGTGCACATGGGCACGATGCAGGAGACGCCGTGGGGATCCGTCTTGGAGGGGCGGGTGGAGGGGGTGTGCATGATGCTGTACTTTGCGTTGCGGAGGAAGTCGGCGCTGCCGCCGAGGCCGTTGAGCATGCGGGAGCCCATGACGCAGGTGCTGTTTGCGTGGGCGTAGATGTCGACCTCGACGGGGGTGTTCATGCCGATGACGCCGAGGCGGCGGATGATCTCGGGGGAGTTGGAGACCTGCTGGGAGCGCAGGAGGAGCTTGTCGTGGTAGGACTCCCAGTTGTCGTAGAAGCGCTTGAAGCCGTCGGGGGAGAAGCGGACGGAGGTAGCGGTGGCGAAGTCGAGGTGACCCGAGTCGAAGAGGTCGAGGAAGGTGTCCTGGATGACCTCTGTCCAGACCTTGAGGTTCCAGAAGTTGGAGTCCTTGAGGCCGCCGATGACGGCGTTGGCGATGTTGCCGATGCCGGACTGCAGGGGGAGCAGGTTCTTGGGCAGGCGGCCGTGCTTGACCTCGTGCTCGAAGAACTCGATGAGGTGGCGGGCGATGGCCTGGGAGCTGGCGTCCTCGGGGGTGTTGGGAGAGGTCTGGTCCTGGTAGTCGGACTCGATGATGCCGACGACCTTCTCGGGGTCGATGGGGATGGAGGTGGTGCCGATGCGGTCCTCGACGCCCATGATGAGATAGGGCTTGCGGCGCGGGGGCAGGTCGGTCATGGTGATGTCGTGGAGGCCCTCGAAGCTGGGGAGGGAGGTGTTGACCTCGATGATGATCTTGTCGGCGAGCTGGACGAGCTCGGGGGTGGCGCCGACGGAGGCGCCGGGGACGATGCTGCCGTCCTCCTTAATGTCGGTGGCCTCGACGATGGCGACGTCGATGCCCTTGTTGGGGCGGTCCTTTGTGTAGAAGCCATAGACGAGGTCGACGGGGAACTGGGACAGGTGCTTGTCGAAGAAGTTGATGCGGCCCTCGTTGATGCCCTTGGAGATGGCCTTGCCGACCTGGTGGGGGCTGCGGCGGTCAATCATGTCGAGGCCGGCCCAGCGGTTCTCGGTCTCTGCGCCGGAGGAGGCGCCGACGAAGAGGCTGTACTTCATCTTGCCCTGCAGACTGTTCTGCTCGACATGGTCGGCGAGGAAGGTGGGCATCTTCTTGGGGTAGCCGACGCCGGTGAAGCCGGACCAGCCGACGTAGGCGCCGTTGGGGAAGTGCTGGAGCAGGTCCTGAGGACGGGTGAGCTTGTTCAGCATGGTCGGGCGGCGAACGCGGGCCTTGAGGGCGGCCGAAGCAACTGGCGACGCCATTTTGGAGCGTGAAGCCTGGCGTAGATGAGGACGACGAGAGGAGTGGAGAGGAGAGGTTCTCAGGGGTCAAAGCCCGGGGAAAGGAGGGGAGATGATGGGGGAGAGTACAACAAGCAAGCACACCGGTCAAGGGAAAGAAGACACGATGGGGTGACTTTTGAGGAGAGAAAGTGGGCTCCAGGTAGATTTTATATCCGGGCTATTTTTCGCGTCCAGCACTGTGAGGAGAGGCTCCAGTCCAGACCTTGAGGACGAGCCAAAGAGAAAAGAAAGATGGATTGTGGAAGATCAGGTCACTCCTTGAGCCCCTCGGTGGGGAATGACGCAGCTGCGGCCAGGGAAGCTATGGCTTTTGATAGCGATAGCTCCCCGATTGGGCAAAGCGCGGCTTAGCTAAGACGGCCAACATGGTGCTGGCAGCGTGGGATGCGTGGGCTGAGTGGCCAGGCGGCTCGGCAACGGTCGGTAACACCCCTGCCCAGACAGCCGCATGCCCGCTAGGCCGTGAATTGACTGAATTTAGGTGTCACTGGAGTAAGGCACAGCGGGAGAGGGACGCCACAGGGCAGCCTGGTAGCACGCTGTGCCAGGCACCCTACCACTGGAAACCTTCCTTCGGTGAGAGCCGGCAGACGAGCACTCGACAGCAATTGGCCAATCAACAGCGCGCAATTCCGCTTTATTCCAAGCAATTCTGGGCTGAGGCCGTCAGGAGATTTTCCACTCTTTGGTATTGGCCTTTGGATTATTTACTTATTATTGACAGTCTGCTCATCACTGCATCTCGAAATCATAGGGGGCCTCTTATCCTTGAAGGCCATCTCCACTGCTTGCTAGGCATGGTCACCATGACTTAACTGGGGCCCATCGAAACGACGCATCAAAGTAAAATGGAGCCCGTCCCAAACTTCCGTAGATGCGAGCTCTTCCTTCGGCACAGCTCGGCCGGACGAATCTCGGCTTTAGCCAACGGTACGTACCTGCGAGGTCCACCCTTCCCGCTCGAGCATCCAGTCGCAACGCAAGAATGCCATTTGGGCCCCCACACTTCCATGTTCACCTGGAAAGAGACACGATCTTGCCATTTTGGTCGTGTGAATAGCTTCATTTTATTTTCTCTCTTTCTCATGCTATCCTGGCCTGGCTCCTTATTCGGGAATCTTGGCCTCCTCCGCCGGCACGCCAGCCTTCCACCGGTACGACGAAGCAACATGCTCATCCAACGGTCCCGACTGTCCCTTTTTGCGGTAAAAGTTCTCTCTGTACGTGCCGCCCGGAACGGCATAGTCATCCCAGAACAACCCGCGACGACGCAGCTCCGGAAGAAGCAGGTCGATGATTTCCTTGAAAGACTGGGGGAAGAGCGCATACGCCTGCAATCGCTGTCAGCATCCGTCTCATTCAACACACCAGGTCCACTCACAAAGTTGAAGCCGTCCACATCGGCCTCCTCAATCCACGTCTCCAACCGATCCGCAACCTGCGCCGCCGTACCGACAAAGATTGGTCCGTTACCTCCAATGCTCACATGCTCCGCAATGGTATGCTTCGTCCACTTCGCCGTACCCGGCGAGAACCGCGCGTAGCCCTCGACCGTCGACCGCACCGCATTGCTCTCCACCTCGCGCAGCTCCTCCTCGTCGCCGTACTTGCTCAAATCCATCCCCGTCCACCCGCCAAACAGCGCCAGCGCGCCCTCGTGCGACGCGTACTTGCGGTACTCCGCCAGCTTCGCCTGCGCCTCCGCCTCCGTCGCGCCCAGGATCGGCGTCACCAGCGCGAGCACCTTGATGCTGTTGCCGTCGCGGCCGTATTCCGTGCGCGCGAGCTCGCGGATCTCGGCGATGCTCTTCGCGCACACCGCCGGCGCGTGCGCCGACACGAAGATGGCCTCCGCGTGCTGCGCCGCGAACTGCTTGCCCGCCTTGGACGTGCCGGCCTGCAGGAGGAGCGGCGTGCGCTGCGGCGAGGGCTGCACGACGTGCGGGCCCGGGACGGTGAAGAAGCGCCCTTCGTGGTTGATCTTCCGCACGAGGTCGGGCTGGGTGTAGATGCCTTTCGCGCGGTCGAGCTTGACGGCGTCGTCGCGCCATGAGGACTCGAAGAGCTTGTACATGACTTTGATGTACTCCTCGGCTTGGGCGTATCTGTCGTCGTGCTGGGTTTGTGAGTATGATGGGACGGTGTTGAAAAGAGTCAATGGCGGGCTTACCTGGGGTTGCTGGGCGAGACCCATGTTCTTGGCTGCGGAATCGAGGTAGCTCGTCACGATCTGTCTTGGTCAGCTTGTTTGCTCGGTGTCGTCCCTCTTCCACTTAAACTCACGTTCCATCCAAGACTGACATCTCATTAGCTACGTAATTTCAGTATTCACGATGGGAAAACTCACCGTCCACCACTGAGGTGATCAACCGTTGACAGACGCCTAGCCAAATGGTACGGCTGCTCGTACGTCGTCGATACCGTCACTCCGAAGCCGATGCTCTTCGTCACAGCAGCCATAGCCGCAATAGGAGCGAGAGGCTCATTGACGGGCCACTGCGCGCCGGAGATCTTTGCAGGATCAAGCGACTGCGAATACACGTCGTAGCCGCCTCCAAGATGTTAGTCGTTGCGTTGGGCAAACCGAGCTAGAGCAAGCGCGTCTTACCGAGAACGTCTGCAATGAAGATGCCGTGGAACTTAGCCTCCTCGAGAAGCTTCGCCAGCTCAACCCAGTGGCTGATCTCGTTGAATCGCCAGGACTCGTCATCGGGGTGCCTCCAAAGTCCAGGGGACTGATGTCCACTGCCTGTGTTGCGTCCTGGTCAGCTTCTTCGACTGCAACCCAGCTCACAACAACGACTTGGGGACTTACACATCTCAACGAAGGCATTGAGCACCAAGCTCTTCTTCGGCTTTGTTCCGTTCGCTTCGGCCATGATCGCTTTTCTCGTCTCGCGTCTCTTACGTGCTCTGTATCGTGGATCTTCAAGAACAACAGATTTCCAAGCGGGACAACAACTGGAAAAAGGGTAAATATTTTCCTCAACCGCAAAAATTCTCGGAGACCATATTCTTCCCACCAGCGACGCGAGCGCGGGGTAATCAAGGTGCCCTCACCCGGTTGTGACGCGCATTCGGGGCAAGTTCTCCATCGCATAGCGCTGCCCCTCCCGATGTTCGGCGTGGGTCCGGCACCGTGGAGCCGGGGCGATGACACCACCGGACGGCGCGGTGGCGCAAGACGCGGACCCCATGTTGAACAACCTCGGATACATCTTCGGCGGGGGCAATCTTCTTGTCTCGATGCACTGCCGTACGACTTTGGCATTTTAGCCGTTGAAACAGCTAGCCGGTCAAGCAATAAGAGCTCGCGGCCCCCACTCCGCACGCCGCGACCGCGTGTAATGGAGCTCAAGGTTTCAACGTGAGGCCATCACGTCATGTTAGCCCCGAAGGCGAGCTGGCCCAACCGGAGCGTCGCGAATTGCAATGCTACCGTCCGGAGGGACGCGTTCTGCGGACGACGGAGGACCGCAGGGTGTGGGGTTCTGTGAGGGGTAATTGGAAGCGCTGGCTTTGGTCGAATGCGATGCTGAAGGTTTCGAGATGATTGCGATCCTCGATGACATGTGTCCCGGTGCTGTGGATACGCTGGTGCATGATGCTCTGGATGATATCGTCGACCATTGAATCTGACTTGCGCTCAGTCCTGAGTTGGAGGAGCTCCTATGATCGCAGTGTGATGAAGCTCAGAATTATGTAATTACGTGCAACGATAATTGAATTATGATAGTGATAGCCGAACTGTGAATAGCTTCACACACATCTATGAAAATCTATGACTCGCAGGATGAGCCCTTTGATGTCGTATCTAATGCTTCGTCTGCGAATCCCCATCCTCGCTCTCCACAACACCACTCCCACCCACCTCCTCCACCCCCCTCTCCCCAGTCCCAAAATGCTTCAACACAAGCCACGCCGGCCCGATCGCCACGGCCCACAGCGCAAAGTTGAAGTAGATCCCGCCCACCTCGCCAAACAGCGTCAGGCTCGTCAGCCCGTAGCTCACCGCCTGCCACGCGCTCTCCGTCCCGCGCAGCAGTGCCGCGTAGCGGATCACCTCCTCCTCGCCCTGCGCGAGGTTCGTGACGATGAAGTAGAGGAAGAGGTAGTTCAGCTGGAAGCCGATCGTCAGAAAGATGTAGACGGCGAAGGCGGCGCCGAAGTCGCCGTCCGCCCAGTCGTGCGTCGGGCGCGTGGTGCGGTAGCGCGTCGCGAGGATCGTGGCCCAGGTCCACCACGCGCCTTGCGTTATGACGAGACCCCAGAAGGTGGTGCGGGTACGGGTTTTGAGGGAGATTTTGGCGCGGTCAAGCCAGTGCTGGGAAGAGTTTGTTAGTGACTTTGGATGTGGACGTGAGATACGGAATGGGTGCTTACACCGAGGAGGTTGCCGGAGATGACGGCCACGATGCCAGACAGGAAAGATCCCAACGCCCGCGAGCGGACCGAGAACCAAGCTTCAAAACGTCAGCAATCATCCACCCATCCAAACTCACGGCGCACTTACTCGCAAGATACGTGAAAAACACAGCCTCCGAAAACACGGCCTGCCCAATCCACAGCACAACCAGCAGAAACTTGACATTGAAGAAGCTCCGCGTCGTCGCCCTGATCTCGAACCACGGGTTCTCCACAATTTCCAAGCTGACCTTGCGCCCGTCTTGTCGCTGCACCTGGTCCGGCTTGTTCAGCAGCAGCCCCACGAACGGGCCCGCCGCCTGGATGGCGATGAAGACGATGAAGACGGTGTACGAAACCTTGCCGGCCTGGTCGTTGTCGGCGTTCAGCCCGAGATTGATGGCGCCGCCGAGGATCTGTCCGCAGAGGCGGTAGGTCAGCCAGTAGCCGAGGGCCTTGCCGCGGTTCCAGGGCTCCGGGTAGGCGATTGCAATCGCCGCTTCCGCGGCCCAAAAAACGCCAGCAGATATACCTAGAGTTCAGTTAGTCTCAGT